AACGACTGCTTCCACCCACTAACCGTAGTGAGAACACCAACGACCGGGTAGATAATAATGTTCACGCCGCACGCCAAACCGATCACCAAACGTCTGTGTGTGGAACTCAATGACATTATTCAAATTAGGGCATATACGCAGGCTATGCAGAAAGGCTGACATTCGATCAATCGGAGCTAGTCATTCCCGGGGCGAAGGATCGATACGATGTCTCACGAACGAGCAAAATGTACAGAGTAAGGGAAAAACCATTAAGCATAAGATTCAGTGTCAACCCGAGCTAGTCACAAAGGTGAAGTAATAGAAGCGTATGTGGGGAACCGTAAAAGAGGACGGGGTGAATAGGGATGAGTGGAATAAAACTCACAAAACCACGGGGAGTGGTGGAGTACTCTTGCCTGCGCTATAACTGGGGGGAGGATAAAAGTGAAGTTGGAATGGAACCATAAGGGTGAAAAAGAATAAGAGTGTGAATAAGAAGACTGGAAGGCTTGAACAGTAGCAGCAAAACCCCTATCCACCCCGCTCGATGCAGTAAATACGGTGCTCATAATTATCCTCTGCGACGACCAGAGCATCAGGAAACTGTTTGAAGAAAATTTCAATGTATTGAGTGGGTAGGAGAATGTCAGGCTGCCCAGGCCTAGATAGAAGAACGATTAGGCTTCCAAACCAAAGCCTTTATTTCAGAAACCTGACCGCAAGGTATCGGGTTTGGCGTTGGGCTACAGAGTTCGTTTTAAGGAATAATGAGCCACCGCAATTCCAACTCCCAACCTGGAGGACTAGGCGGCTGAGTTTGTCTTGCCTCTAACCATTGACCAATCTGGTATGAGGGGCACTGAAGGTGCAAAATAGCACCACTGACCATAGGGTCTCTGAGGCACGCAAACCAACGCACCACGGTAAGGCCCAGCCTCATTGCGAAGGAGCTGTGAATACAAGTGGTTACTTATCCCTTAAGCTTCGGAAATGGTACGTCACACCGTTTCATTGTTGATACTGGTAGCGTGCAGTCTCATTTCTAAAACGAGTTTCAATCAGCTATACTCTGATGTGCAGCTTGATTCTACATCCATCACTATTAAAGGTATTACTGGACATACCCCTTCGGTGGTTGGATGTTGTACCTATCGGTTTTAGATAGATATTCTAAGCCTGTCGAGTGCAAATTTGGTGTCATTCGCCAAGGCCCATCTATCTTAGGTCTTAAAGTTATGCAAGCGTTTAAAATAAGTGTCATTTTCTTTCACACACTGATACTGACGCGCAAACGTGGTTTACTGCATGATTGTTTAGTGACATCTGGTGAAACGAAATCCCGCCTGTTACTTTGAAAGTAACCGGTGATCCTGTTTTTTGTAAACGTCGGAAACCTCCCTTTGGACTAAGAGAACCAGTTTGCAAGGTACTTGTGTCTCTCTGTGAAACAGGATTATTGTCCAAGTACAAAGTTCCCCATAGACCACACCTACTGTCACACTGTTAAAGCCGGGTGGACAAATACCCAGATTTTGTGGCAATTACCGCATTACCCGGAGCTACTGAAGCGTGGTAAAGCCACGAAAGAACCTGAATCTCGTCTGCATGGGTACAAGATTTCGTCGAAGTTAGACTTAAAGGTGCATATTTGCAGATACCACTAACTGATGATTCTAGTGAACTGACCACCATCAATACACGTTTTGTGTTATACTGGTATAGAATATTTCCCTTCGGTATTAAAGTGTCGCCAGCCATATTCCAAGACGTGAAGAACTCCGTTGTGAAAGGCCTGGAGGGTATTGTGGTCTATCAAGACGATGTGCTTGTGCATGCTGCCGATAAACACACTCATGATTTGTGATTGCTTGCGTTTTTAACTCGCTTCAAGTATGCTAATGTGAACAGCAACGCAAAGAACTGTCTAACTGGTGTCCAAGAAATTAGTTGTCTTGGCTATCACGTTATATCTGAAGGATTCAAACCAGATCCTGATCGGATAAAGCCTTGGGTTGATATGAAATCGCTCACCAATGTTCATGAGCTTCGATCACTGATGGGAGCCTTACAGTATTAGTCCAAATTCATTCCTAATTTTAAATCCACTGCTGATGTTTATTCACCTCGTTGAATGGCAAGTTTTGTTTGGTTAGACAAACATGAACATGTTTTTCGAAAGCTTTTGAAAATGCTTACATCTGGTTGTGTTTTTCGTACATTCTCTCCGAAACTACCAACCGTGCTTTTCACAGATGCCTCACCAACCGGTATAGGTGCTGTGTTAGTGCAAGATGGGCACCCTGTTCTGAGCATATCTCGTCCTCAGCAATGCTGAAAAAAGTTAGGCCCAGTTATCGAGAAGCTATGACTGTATACTGGGCAGTCACTAGAATACAAAAAGATTTGTTTGGTCTCACATTTACTATTGTGAAAGAGCATGAAGCTCTTAAGTTCATTTACCACCCTGCCAGTTCTTTAGCTAAATTTTTAGCAGGTATGGTTCAAAGGTGGAGTGTTGCTCTTAACGCGTACAACTATGTGGTTGAGCACAGAAGTGCAGTTTATTCCCCAGGCCGACTACTTCTCGAGAAATGCAACGGTATTCGAAGCCGATTCTGAGATGAGTTGTTTACTCACCCTGCCTCTCCCAATCTCTCGTTCAGCACTTATTAAGGAGACTAGAAAGCAGTACGGGTTATTGATTTCTGCCCTCAAACAATGACGGACCGCTTCTCTTAAAGGCAAGTTTTCACAACTTTAAGTGCATCGTGATGAGTTGTGTGTTACACCTGATGGATTACTGTGCGTGAATGACCGTGTCGTTATTCCGCCGACTTTGAGATCAGCTATTCTGACGGATTTACATTCTGGTCATCTTGGTGTTGAAAAGATGAAGATGCTTGTGCTGGTGGCCGGAATGAAATGCAGATATACACGAACTGCTTCTGTTCGCCCGAACTGTAGGCACAAGATTCTACAGCAGCCGCTCAATTAAACACTATGGCCAGTGACATGCGAGCCCTGGTAAAGGATACATATGGATTATTGTGGACCATTCCTACCGACGTACTATACACTTGTGGTGGTGGATTCTTATTCAAAATGGCCAGGAGTAATCCTGACTGATAAATGAAATGTTGACTTCATTGTCCGGGCCTTGAGAAGTGTTTAGTAGGGAAGGAGTCCCATTGGCTGTTATAAGTGCCAATGGCTCATATATTTCAGCTTCATTTGTTACCAGATGGCTGCAGTCTTGGGTGCCGTCACCTTTTTACTGTTTCATGACATCCATGCTCTAATGGCCTAGCTGATAACTTCGCTGCAACTTGAAAACATACTGTTACCTCCTGTGCTCCTACTTCTTTTGATGAACTTGATCGCTGTGTTGATAACTTGCTTTCTAAATATCGGAACGGTGTGCATTCCACCAGTGGAGATACACCCGCTAAACTGTGTAAATCCAGACCATTGAGGTCGAGCATGCTTGGCTTTGGAAGTATTAAAGTATTTTATTTTAGAGGCAATGATTTACGTCCATCACTCATTGTTAACAACCTGGGAAGTCATATGGTTAAAAGTTTAGATCTTGATGACTGCTCTGTACATAAACGGCATGTTGATCAGGCAGGATACAAGGATTCCACTCAGCTGTTATCTGACTTTGTGTGCACTGAAAATATTAATGACAATTCAGTTTCACATTCCCATGAGAGTTCTGAGCAGAGTCAGCCTCCAGGAAGATCCGCCAGACTGCAACAGAAATCCCAACCGAGTTACAGAAACCTGGCGTTGCATTCAAGTTGAGAAGGATGTGATGATTGTACATACAATGCTCAATGATTGATTATTGCTAGTCTTTTTCATCAATTGATTTAGAATATATCCGCGAAATTTGAATTTCAATTAGGGTGTTCTTACTACAAGTCAAGACTAGCTTAGTTGGAGCCTAATTCTATTTCGATTCCGGACCTACCATAGAAACGCCTCATTATCCTCACAGTGGACAACTGTCGTAGTCACACCCAAGTAAAATGCCTTAAAAGTATTACACTTAAATTTTTGCGACCAAACATGATCTCATAAATTTGACCTCTGAATCAAGGGATCATCAAAATATGCAAAATGAACTACAGAGTGCGGCTCAAGCAATGGGCTATGGTAAAATTGCATACTAATGATTTGTATGCGGAAGTAACCTCATATATTGCTTCTGTTAATATCTTGGATAGTGTGCTTTGGAAAAGTGCCGTTTGGTTCAAATGTAATCAGAAATCATACAAAGTATTTCAGAAAAGCCGGATTTGTTCAAGCTCTCGAGCGGGATGCCACTGCCTTATTCAACATTCCAGCTCCAATGGCAGAATTCGCTGGAATGGATTTTAAAACGTCTAGTGAAACGAATGATGACTTGGTAACTAGCACTGAGCCAGACCCATATAATATTTGCATAGATACTGACTGCGGTACTCCTTTACGGAACAAACACCTAATGATGCTGATGAAGAAGGGCTGAGTGATGAGGAAAATCACCGAAACTCCAAAATAAGATGAAGGCAAACATCACTTAATGTAAATGAAATCGTTTGCTGTGGAAAAATGTCAAAGCATGCTGAGTAGTGTGGCTTGTGCTGAGAGCGCTTTTTCAGTTACCTTTGTGATAAAAGAAAAAAGGAACAAACAAAGATTGACATTTTCTTCAAAAAATTTAGTAGGCAAACGAAATGCATACTTCGTTTCGGATTATTAAAAATAGTTGTAGGGTCGAGCTGCGTTTGCCGTTACGTGTGACCTCGTCTAATGTGTTCGAAACGGGTTATATGAAAATAAATTCTATACTACTACTAACGACGGAAAGGTAGGTTACGCCAAGTTTTGGCATAGAACCTCCGTAAGTTGACCACCTCCCTATGTTGACCACTTTGAAGCGATCCTTTGAGCGGTCAACTTACGGAGGTTTCACTGTAGGTCCAATAAGCAACTGAAAGGCGTCAGTGTTGATACAGCTGCAAATCAAGGATCGCATATTTGAAGGATTGTGGTGTGAACCGCGTAGGAAGGACGTAAAACGATTCGAAACAAAGAAATAACGGACCATACGGCCATAGATGGCACAAGATACATCATCGAGAATGCTAACCCAAGGATTTAAGCAGCAGAATATGCAGGACATTAGTTTATTTGACGATGGAAGAAAAGTTGTTCCGCTGTAAGCAAGAATGAAACGGCAAGGCAGTGACGCATAACAAGCGCAAATTCAGTCAATTACGTGCTCCGGAACCGTGGGATGAAAAACGAAATGGGAGAAAAATGGAAAAGGCAGCAGGTATAACCAATTAGGTAGGAATGAATCAAAGTGGAAGACGGAAAGCCGTACACAGTGAACAGGTGAAGATGAAGGCCAATTGCGAAGCCTTAAGGCAAAATCAATAGCCGAGCTTTTTCTTTCGACGCATGCTTTTCAGATAGCCATAATATGCAACCTTACAAAACACCTTCGGGTAGATAGAAAGTAAGTAAGCCTGTATGGCGTGACCTATACAACCGTGGGTCATCTGCTGAACACCTAGCAAACTCAAAGCATCGGATGCGCAACGTTGTGGACTAGGCACGAAGAAACTGGTGCGTTTAACACCCGACATGGCAGTAGCAACCAACATGGGACAAACGGACTGGACCAATATTCCATTCCGTTCAACTTCATAAGCTAAAGCTTTGGAGAAATGGTAAACAAACGCCTTCGAAGCGCTATAGAGTGAGAGATAAGGAAAGGGAAGAACGCCAGAAAATGAACTGACATTGATGATAGCCGCGTTTTTTGATTTTTGGCAGACCATTTTTTGCAGTACAATTTTGGTCAGGCTTGCCACGGAGTTCATGTTACAATTGATCATACTGCGAATAAACTGCAGGTCTATGAATTTCGCGTCGACGTAAGCGTCCAGGTACGGGTAGGAGAATCCAACATTGTTCACAAGGCAGGCAATAGAAGATAAGGAACCGAGTTCTCGTCCTAGCATTTCGTAAATGTCAGGTTGAGTGAAATCACATGCGATAGTTTTCGTTTTGACTCGGTATGTGCTCTCAATCTCTCCAGCGACAAGTTCTAGTTTCTCAGAATTCCTGCTAATAAGAACAATATTCAGACCATCCTTGGCCAGTTCATGAGCATAAGCTTTCCCGATTCCGTCTGTTGAGCCAGTAACGACTGCCCAATCGCCAGCTAGTCTTAGGTAGCCACGCTTGGAGAACAACGTTCGCCCGAGTAAATAGCAGAATAGTAATTGAACGAAAGGAATGAGAACTTTCCACAGAACAAAAACCAGGAAAAAAGGGATCGATAGCTCCACAAAAGACATCAGAAGACGATACATACAGCTATGACCAGTGCAACTAATGTGCAATAGCTCTGGAAAAAGATCCGCACATGCTGAAGAGAAGAGACAAACGGTAAGGCTGGTTGCACAACATAGAGTCAAAGTCCAGCGACCAGGCGCACAATCTGTGGGAACAATAAGGCGCAAGTTTATTTGGACAATTGGGGAACGTGAGCTTAGTGCAACACAGTAAAACATCCCACAGAATAGAAGCAGACGGAAAAAGACATACTACAGAAATTGAGCAGCTCACTAGTGCGTCTCCTGCTTTATTAGCATTGGGCAATGCACTACGTACAGCTAAAATAACAAAAGAAACAGAAGGTGCGGTCAGAATCGGGAAAAGGATTCCCCCACGCCGCAAGGTTGCCCTTTGCAAATAATTACTGCTCCGTTTCCAATTTATAAGTACCTGATGCTCATTAGCAATGCGGATTCAGTTCGCAAGCGGCTGCAATTCAAAGTTGGGGGTTAAACCAGTTGTGACAAACTAAAACAAACGTCTTAGGCATGATAGTTGTTGATGGCGTCAGTCAGCAAGAACAGACGTAAAACCAGAATGAAAACCGATAAAGTGCCACAGGTAGTTTAATTGATGAAAGGGAGAATTAGTGACAACCAAGTGGACCCGATGAGCAGTTGGGACTGCTAACGACGCGGCACGTGCGGGGGTTGTATCTCACTTTCTCAATGACACATGACCTACCGTACCTCGATGAGATGGAAAAGTAAGTACACTGATCACTTGCGCTGTACGGGTGTACCTTCAATGTTGGGGTTACCGAAGTTTTGCTGGTGACATTCAGAGTTGGCCAAGTGGTCCTTTGAAAGCTGATGGCAAGTTCGTCAAAAACTCCGTGACCAGCAACAGGCCGGCCAGTAACCGTAGCACAGTCAAATGTGTTGACACCCGCATCCTCTTTATGGTGACCAGGTAGTGAGGAGAACGCACAGAGGAGGCAATATGTTCAAAAAGCAAGTAAGTGGACAATCAGGGCAACTTGCGATTCTGTGTACTGTATGTCTTTTATGGTCTTCGTGAAGGCCTTCAGATAGCAATTTACGCTAACATGTCTCCTTTTCCTCAATCTTCTTATGATGGCCTAATGGCTGAAACAACTATAACAGGAAAGTGATTCACGATTCCAGTCTCAATCGCATTGCAACCATGTTGAAGTGCAAATGTGCCTGTTACGGTACCAGCTTCGTAGTATTTCGTTAGCCGATCAAATGTGACTGAAATATAGTGTGCCCATTTCAACCCTGATATCGATTTCGGCGGATAACGCTGAGCTGAGTTGACCGAAAGTACCTCTTGCTAGTTGGTTCGTACACACTTATTAGTCACAGTGTGATACATCAGCACAGGTTTACGGATAAGTAACCGCCGTTTCTTCACAACAGCTCGCTCCATAGCGGTTGTGTGCAACTTCGCCATGGATTACCAGACCTATCCGCACCCACCACACACAACGGAGCTCTCAGGTAAAATCCAACATCACTTATGTCTGTCGGTCATCAGGCTTCAAGAATAAAATTTAAATTTGCATCATCCTCCTGCAAATATGATCATTAAACGGCGTTAGAACGATTCGCCGGGGTTTTGACATATGGAGTTGTCTAGGACGTGCTGGGCAATAGAGCATGACGGCAGCTTGGGAACCTTCGAGACCGCACTAAACAGAATGTGCTCGGAAATCCCAGTTGACAACCTTCTCTCAGTTCGGTCTACGTACTAGCTACAACAAGTACAGTGAAAGATGTAAACACATGATGCGATAAATAGAGGGCCTGGATTGTCCAGGTTGGACTTCCATAGCAGCTTTCTTAAGTCTTCTTCATCAATAACGCAAGTTAATTGAGGTTGAGAAACACCCTAATACAAAAATGGCAGGAAACTAAAAATTTCACCATAAAATTGCAAAAGCAAGCAATATAATGTTAAATATCATAACACGCAATTGCTATGAGATTGTAATTAAAGGAGGAATCTAAAGAAGGGACAGGAACAAAGAAACTCACAACATAAACGCCACTAGGGCGTCATTCGCCAAATCAGCAAGCGTGTCCAACCGAGCAGCCTTAGGACCCCAGCCCGGCAGTCAGGAAGCACTGACAGAAGCCAACTTCAAAGTTATGGTTTTCATTTTTCTCGACCAAGTCATCGCTTGGCTTCCCCTCCTCTTCATTCATCCAGACCCCGGGCGCGCAAACAACCCACGTCGCGGGAGTCGGTGTGATGGCATGCGCAACTTGTGGCCATGTCATTGGAGCCCGGTGCGTGATACAATGGTGCTGAGCAGTTCACTCACTCTTCCTACAATAACACAAATTCGATTGCGCAGCAACACTACTTTATCACCTGGCAGAGATGACGCCAGAATCTTGCGTCATTTTTGTCTCCTTAAAACTGTAATGTAATGAACACCCGACCCTTCCTCGAGTGACTGCATCCGTCACTCAATTGCCTGCATCGGTCACGTTTGCATCTGCGTCGCCCTCCCAAATGCATGCATACATGTGCGTGTGCATACGCGTGAGCCTTGGGTTTGGCCCACATATGTGCACACGCGCATGCATGTATGCATATGGGAGAGAGAGGCAGATGCAAGCGTCGCCGATGCAGGCAATTGACTGACGGATGCAGTCATTCGAGAAAGGGTACAGTTACCGCCTCATGTATCTACCTCCACCACTGTACTTGTGGTAGCAAGTACGTGAGCCGAACTGAGTGAAAGCTGTCCACGAGGATTTCTGAGTACATTCCATGCAATTTGGTAGGGAGTGGTACCCAGCTGCCTGCAAACTCGATTGCTTAGCACATCCTAAGAGCTGGAAATGTCAAGTAACCCTAGTGCAACACGATGCATAGCGCAGGGACCATGCACATAATGAGAACCCATGCGTCGAAAGAGAACGTCAATTCCTCCTGTAAGTGAGCAACCAGATCTTTGAATCGCGAAATATCCCAAGCATACAAATAGAGTGGTGGTCGACAAGAACAAGGATCGTCATCATCACCATTATACACGCTAGCTAGAGGTGGGAACACATCAGCCACTATGCCGCAACACATGAGAGGAAGAAAGGGACGCAACTAAGACGCGGCAGCTAGGCTACCAGTGACAGATGGTCACCGTTCCGGTGAGATCGTATCCGGCTGTTGTGCAGCAAAAATACAAAGTTATGTTTCAAGAACGTGATTGTAATTGAAGAGGGAGGCTAAGCGAAAAGGAGAGGGACAAAGAAACTCAGAACACAAACGTCATTGAGGTCCGCTCTAAGTCATGTCAACAAGTGTATCCAGCCAAAGGTGGTCATTGTCTTTCGGGCACCAACCAGGGAGTTGACAGGCTACAACCAAGGTCAACTTCAAACTAAGGGCACACATTCCTCTCGGCGACGTCGTCAGTTGGCCTACCCTCCTATTCTTTCATCCTCAACCAGATCGCGTAAACAACGCACGACGCGGCAATCGGTGGGTTGGTATCCGCAACACGTAGCCCGGCCATCGGAGCCTGGTGCATGATATCACGGTACTGAGCAACTCACTTCCTCTTCCTGTGTCATATACAAGGCATCGAACACTTTCATTGCTCGCATGGTATTCCTACCAAATATGACCTAAAAATGCGAAGGCACCGGTGGTCGAACGTACAGTTGGGTGGAACGTACGGCTGTATTGTGAATTCTACCCCTCTAGGAGAGAGTGATATCGCGCCGGCGCCATAAAAGGCGAAGGTCAGGGAAAGCGCCACGAGCTTTCGCTACACGGTTTTTGACCGCGCCTTCGATTCCACAGGTGTTGAGAGAACTTCCAAGAACAAGGAAACGTTGATCTACGGCGCAATGATGGAAGAACGCATATGCCATCAGTGTTAACGTCTTACGCCTACTGCAGAAATCGTGCTTTGATCTATTCAGGCGCTTAATTCCCTAGACATATTTAAACGTGTCCGTTCCAATTCCAGTTAGGATGGTGAAAACGTGAAAATTTTGGAATCTGCGGGCGATTTCCATGGATATTAGAACGTCCTAAAATACGACAAGATCTATGGAATATATCTTTCTCCCAAAGCTGATAGCTGAAGTTCTGGACAGCATCTAGCTGATCATCACCAGGGGCCAACGTAGGGATGGTCCTCTGCCAAATTAGGAAAGGGACCTTGAATTTTAAGGGTGCAAAGTACAGCCTGAAACTATTGACAGTCAGTGCTATTATATGTTCGGGTGTAATTGGCAATGTCCTGGGCATACTCCAGGTCGAAAAATCTATAACCTGCAAGCAGCTCCACACCTTCAAAGTATTGGAAAGTGGAGGCAGATAGCAAAGAGTAAGGGTAAGTTCCGTGAGTTTTCTGTGTCCGATAGTGAAGTGAAATCGGTGTGTGGGAAATGAGGACCATAAATTAGAAGAAAAACTGGTTTTGAAAGATGACGAAACCGTGCCTAGCGTTGCTAATAATATTGCTTCATTATTATCTCGTTCGGGTAGCTAATAGGAACCACCCGAACGGGATATAGGGGAAGAAATGCAGGAGTAGGCGGACAAGCTTGTTTTCTGTGGTATGCATCAGGCCAGTACACCACAGAAAATAGGAAGAAAACTAACACAGGGTACTTAAGCACGATGAAGCAATGAAGCGAGTTGACCTGGCAATGAGATTATGTGAAGAAACTGGCTAGGGCTAGATTGTTGGAAGGGTTAAGCGCCGTGTCGATACATGGAGCGGCTGAAGGCCATGGCAGATGAAGAGCCTGTACAAACGTCCTTTGGGGTTAAAGAGCCAAATAGCGATGGCCCCCGCTGTCGCTAATATGAAACATCGGAGGGGTCGCGTGTGGCTTCCAGATTCCTCGTAGAGAGGCCGGAATATCCTTCGCACATTGACTTGATGGTTTGAGTAGACCAAGTGCCACAGCACCGCGCTGGCTACTGTCTTTCTCACACCAGTGTAGACCCACGCCGGACAATGTTCTCGGACTCTCTCAGACAGTTGCCAGATCAGCTTTCCAATATAAGTTGCTCGA